CTCCAAGGACTCTCCGCTGGAGACAGGAAAGGAGTGAGGTTGCATGATACTGGGTTTGGAATCAGGACCGACCTGGCTGTTTCCACATTCAAGGATTCAAGGTTTATCCCCTCCATCCTGCCAGCCCTGCCCTGCTGTGACTTATAATCAAGTTGCTATGAAGACTCCATGGGACAAACTTGGGAAAGTTCTTCTGGACACTAGGTTAGGGAATGTGAGCGTTACTGTGGCTCTTTCCAGGTACTGTGTAGTTACCATCTGAGTTGCCCTACCTGGGTTTGCCTTGAATAGTTTGAGTATCCAGATCTATAAAGATCACATCTCAGATGACACCTGCCCTTCATGCCCACGGTACTAAATTTAATCAATTTAACTCGGGGATAAGGTGTTCCATGAGTTGTCTAGGTTTCTCATACATCATCTAGAAACAACCATGATGTTTGTCCAGTTGGTGATTTTTAGGTTCTGCCTTCCTTCACTCCTTTCAAATCAGCTGAACAGAGTCCACAGAGAAGCAGGCTGGAAAAGAGAAAGCTTTCCAATTCTAGTTTATTATTGTTGTTTCTTTGTTTTTTGTTTTATTTTGAGACAAAGTTTCTCTGTGTAGCCTTGGCTGTCCTAGAACTCACTCTGTAGAACAGGCTGTCCTTGAACTCATAGAGTTCTGCCTCTGCCTCCCAAGTGCTTAGAGGTGTGCAGTGTGCATCCCCACCACCTGACTTTACATGTTAATCTTGGTATGTATTCACTAGTCTCCTGCCAAAATACGACTCAGGCCCTAGTTGTTTCAAGCATTAGCTGAGCTTTTAAATTCCAATCTTCATGGTTCCTCTTAAGGTTGAGACACAGAACATAAAGTCCTTCTTGGTAAGCAATGGGCCTCCTCTACTAGTCACGTCACCAAACTCAAGAGATTCCACGGCATGGCAGCCTTAGGACCAGACAAAGGGTGTGGAGCCTCACAGTGGCTCTGCAGGCAGACTGCAGGAGTCAGACTTCTGGCTTTACGTTTTCCTAGCTGGGTGGCCTTGTCTCTTCCTATCCATATAAAACAGGACAGTTATTAAAGCCTACCTCCTGTGGTTATCCTAAAAATGAAATGAGCTAATGCATGTAAAAAGCGGTTAGCATTTCGTGCTTAGTACAAGATAACAATATTAGCAATCTAAGTCTTTACAGCTAAACAGAAAAAATGAAGAGAGGTGACCTATGTCAAGGAGCCACAAAGAACCATTTATCAGACTTAGTAGTCTGTTCTATTTGACTGATGTCTCCTTGTAGATATTCCACACAAGAGATGGAATACAGAACACAGAAAGCCCTGGGTAAATCTCCAGCACAGTATAAGCCAAGCATGGTAGCATGAATCTGTAATTCCAGTATTCAGAGGTCAGTCATAAGTTCAAGGTCATCTCTGACTATAATGAGTCTGAGACCCTATCTCAAAACTCAAAAATGGTTTTAGAAAAGATGTCTCACTAGTGACATTATAAATATCCACCATCCTATCACCTGAGAAGCAGGAGTAATAATAAGGCCCATTTTCCCCTTTGCCTGGCCCTACCTAGCCAGCTATCCTTCCCTCCTAGGGAAACCTCAGGCCAGCCTCTGGTTGGCCTCCATCAGACTCGGAAACACCTAGAGGGGGCTCCATTCACTGCACAGTCCCACATCAATACTGCAGTGAAATGAAGAATGCAAGCCTTACCTCTTCACATGAGACAGTCCCCAGGAAAGCACCCAGCAGAGTATCCAGCCAATACCATAGGCAGCCAATAAATGTTATCTGCTTTAAAATGTTATCTATTTTAAAAGGAAGAGGAGGAAAGACAGCTCTACAGTACCTGCTTTCTTCAGGATGACACACATTCCAACACCGCACACCACATAAGAGCAGATTGGAATCTGTGGAAGGACAGAGAGCTGCCACGCTGTCTGTAAAGGATTACAGTGCAGGGAAGACTCTAACAGACAGAAGGAACAGGAATCTCCGTCTCTCCCTTTCCCAAGAAGAAAAGAAGAAAGACAAAGACCTCTAGCTGGGGGTTTGCTGGCTACCTCACATGTGATGGTTACTTTTAACTGTCAATTTAGCATGGCCTAGAATCACCTGGGAGAAGGACTACTGAGAACATCTGTGAAAGATTATCTCAGTTACATATATTGATGTGAGATGAGCTGTTCACTGTGGGCAGCACTACTCCCTGGGCCTGGGGCTATAGAGCGAATGAAATACTAGAAAGGCGGCCGAGCACCAGTGTACATGTATTAATCCATCTCGCTTTTTTCTTGACTGTGACTATAAGTGACCAGTTCTCTCAGGCTGGAGCTGCTGTGACTTCTATGCCACAATAGACAGGAATTTTAAGCCAAATACACTTTCAGGTTGTTTTGTGAGTAATTTATCACAGCACCAGTAAAGAGCTAGGACATCAATTCTGCACTGGGGGCTTTTAGAATTTTAACATTTCTGAAGAAATCCAAGACACTTTGGACTTCCCAACTTGCTCTCCTAGGCAAACCACACAGCGAGGCTGCCTTCATTTACGGCTGTGTGCAGGCATTGTGGGCTCCCACACAAAATCCCATTAGTTTCCTTAGTGTGTTCACAACACGCCTTGGACTCAGGGGTCTTAATCGCTTCAGCATAACCTTCTCCTCCCCATCCCAACACTGGCAACTTCTAGTCCTGAAATGACAGTTTAAGAGGAGAAGGAAGACAACTGTGAGGAAGGAAAAGAGCAACAGTAGCTCTGGCTCCATTCGCTGTTGCTGACCAAGTACACACTGGATGAATCGGTCCCCTCAAAGAGCCATGGATCCAGGGAAATAGTTCAAGTACAGAATAAGCAGATACTCTTGCAAACCAGGACCTTTAGCAGGAGGCAAAGTGCCAGTGAAAAGGCTTGCTTCCTGTTTGCTTGGGAAGGTATTTGCAAGAAGTCCAGAGTTACACACAGGCCTAAACTGATGGTTATGCAAATAGTATAAACAAATATATGCAAAGAGTGGGAAGTTTCTGTTCCAGCCCCCCCCCCCCCCCGGTCTCACTGCCTTCAGCAGACTTAGTGAAAGAGAATATCCAACAGCTTTAAAGAACCACAAATCTACTCATCCAAAAGGAACACCCCGTCCTCTCCTCAAGCACCGGGACCCCTCTAGTCACTCTCAAGGCCAACGGGAGTTTTTGACAGAATTCTGTTCTTGCCAAGAGCCGCTAAATTTAAGCTATCACCTTGGTTTCTCCAGAGGAGACAGGAGTAAGGAAGGGGTAACCAAGGGTGCTCCTATCCTAAATCCGACAAGAAGGCACGGGATGGGGGTGGGTAGAAAGGGGCACAAGGGAACAGAAGCTCTGCAATGCGAAAGGCGTCCGGGTCAAGCTCGCCGCGGCCCCTGCCGGCAGGTCTGGCTCGTTCCAGGCACTTCCTGAAGTCTAACAGGAGCTTCCAGCGAGGATGAAAGAAATTAGTTCCAGACCCTGCAAACCCACCTCGTGCCACTACTGCAGATTCAAATGCGGAGACTCTGGAGACCATTCCACACGGGCCCAGTGAGCCCCAAGCCGCCCCACCTAGAGCGCGCTGACTGTCCCCGGGCGCAGCGCCGCACCAGGGCAAGGGCCCCGTGTACTCCCTCGCCTGCAACTGTCTCGGGGCGCCTTCAACACTGCAGGGCAGAGGGGAGGGGGAGAAATGGCAGAGAAGGCGGAGCAGACGGCCGGGGAAACACTAACATTTGCCAGGAAAGCGCCTCCTCCCGAGAAAGGAAAGGAAGGGCTTCCCGGCTTAGGAAACGCCCCGGGGATACCCCCACGCGAGGTGCCGCCTTTCCCTGGCTCACCCAGTCTCCAGTCGGTCCTCCACTTAACCTCCTGTCCCAAAAGCTGGTTCTAGCTCTCTTCCCCAGGTGTCCAAAGAGACCCACACTAGGTTTGGGCAGTCTGCAGTTCTAGCAACAGGCAGAGCCGGGTTCCAGCGACGGCGGGCTCCGCGCTCCCGGCTCCTGGACCGAACGATGGGGAGGCAGCCGCAAGCCAGGCACTCTGCAGGATGCAAAGTCCCTGAGCCACACGGACCTGTGAGGTCGTGCCCCCACGACCTGAGCCACCTGGGACCAGAACAGCAAAAGGTAGGGGAACGTACACTAAAGTTGAGGGGTCGCACGGAAAAGTGTCGCGGGCGCGCGGGGAGGTGGGCACCCCAGCAGGTACCTGCAGGAGTCGGGAGTCCTGGCGCGGCTGGCTGGCTGGCTGGGCTCTGCGACGACGCCCGCCCGCCCGCGCTGCAGGGATCCGGCCTCGCCGCGCGGCCCCGCGCCGGCCGCGGCGGCGGCTGGAGAGCGGGAGAGCCCGCGCGGGTTCTGCGGAGTCCGTGGATCCCGCCCGGCCACGGCTAGGTGCCCAGGGAGGCGGGCGGGACCGGGCGGAGCCAGCCTCCCAGTCAACGCCCCGCTCCTCTCCGCTCCTCCCGCCGGCCGGCGTCCACGCTCTCCGCCAGGGTTCCCCCGGCCCAGGGCGCGGCGCTCGCGCGCGCGCGGACTGCTGCGGCCCGAGGGGGGTCCCACGGCGAGCCCCACGCACGGATGGCTGGACCCAGACCCGTCGGGACGGGACGTGCATCCCCCTCCCAGGCCCCAGGGCAGAGTCACCTCTCGAGTATCCCGCCCTGCCCCAGAGGGAGGTCAAGGTCACGCGGCACGTCTCAGGTCCCTTGCCTCCCAGCCTTCGCGATCCACTGAAGGAACCGCAGTCGCAGTCGGACAGGAGAAAAATGATCTCTCGCGTGGCCTGAGTAAAATGCCTTTCGAAAGTCATGTCTAAAGCAACACTTTGCAAAATTGCCGGGGTTCTCTTAAACTGTCACGAGGCCCCAACTTGTTTTACAACAAAGTGCGAGGGAGGAAACGACCCTGTTTCCGCCACTGTTTGCCACCACCCGCTCCCCTGAAGACTCACACACAGTGAGGAACACAATGGTTCGTTCATTTCCTTGACTTACCAAGTCAGAAGAGATGGCTGGACATAAGCACCCAGCGTATGCTCCTCCTATGGAGAAAGGGAAGGAACTGGGTGAGTGGAAAGTGGGGAATAGGAGAGAGAATCATCATCGGGAGATGGCTCCAGCTGGGGTTGAATTAACAACCAAGGACCTCTGCAAGGGCAGCGAGTGGTCCAGGAGACGCACCTGGCCTCCCCGCACTGGCACTGAGCGAAAACACAACCAACAGCCGGAAGAGAAATGGGACGCGTGGGGACCCACCCCCGCGCTCCCCCTCCCGCCCCCGAACTGCAGATTTTTAAGTTGTGCGGACATGCAACCATTCCTCAAAGCCAGCTGCTCAGATTTGTAGGCTCCTGGTGTTCCCAGGGTTCCCACCAGACATTACAAGCCTTGCTGGCTGCTCCCAGTCCAGAGCACTTAGCCCAATCATGAGGATTCCTAGCAAAACCAGGAATCTTTACAAGAGGGATCTATACAAAAGAAAAAAAAAAAAAAGATGCTTTTCTGACCTCACTGAAGAGCCGTGTGGTGTGTCTGTGGGCTTCGTGACTGTTCGTGACTCAAAACCTACAGTGAGACAGAGGGGAAAGAGCACCAGGTTTCAAAAGGTGGAACCTGTACATTACTTATTTTTTATTACATTTCGTTTATCTGTATGTGTATATGTGGGTGCATGCACGTAGAAAGATGCCTCAGAGGACAACTTTCAAGGGTTGGTCAGGTCCCCTGCTTCCATCATGCAGGTTGTGTGGATTGAACTCAGAGGGTCAGGCTTGATGGCAAGTGTCTTTACCCACTGTGCCATCTCACTAGCCCCTGAAGCCTCCATCTTCAAAGAAGGTCTGGCCCAGAGGAGAGGGTTCCAAGCAGTGGGCAGAAAACCCTGAAGACTCGGCTCAGAGAAGAAAAAATGAGGGTTCAGGCCACTGTAGAGCCTATTTGGACCTTCTGTCCCTTACATCTTCATTATTTAGTTCCCCCCAGGCCTCATCTCATGTAACAGAAGACCCAAGGCTGCCTACTCCTCTGTTTGCACGAGTCTGTGGAAGGTAATTTTCATAAACAATCCATCATCTTTAACCTAAGATCTAAATTACTCTAAATGTTTACGTCTTATCAGCATCATAGAATCAATGCTTCCAGATCTCCCCCCAGCAGTTAGCTACTGGAGCATTTCAAAAAGCACTGAGTTTATCCCACAAGTCCAACCTTGCTTGCCTAAGAAGGACAAGGACAAATCAGCAGTCTGTGGCCTGCAGAAGGCATCTGCAGTGCAGAGTGGGCAGTGAGATCTGAGTGAGTGGTACGGGTGAATAGAGGAGGAGGCACAATGAGAGTTCATCAGGAAAAGTCTCTTCTGGGTCCAGGTACAGAAAGAGTTAGCCTCACTGTGAGCATGCTAGAGCAGGTTATATAGAGGGCCATCTGTCTGAGGTAGTGGGTTAGCCATTCTCGTCCTTCTGGAGCCACACAGTCCTTAGGTTCTGGTGTGTCACCTGTAAGGGAAATTCCTTCCTCACCTGGTGACCAAGGAAAGCACATGAAACATTAAATAGGAAATTTGCTCCTGAAAATTAAATCTTCTCTCTCTCTCTCTCTCTCTCTCTCTCTGTGTGTGTGTGTGTGTGTGTGTGTGTGTGTGTGTGTCTTTGATTTTTCATTCTCAAAGTCCAAATGACAGAAAACCAACTCAAGGGTTAGACACTCCTGGTTCATCTCTTAAATGGGAGCAGGTATGCAGGTGAGAATGAAGAGGTTCTCATCTCAGGCAGAAGGACAGGGAGTGAATGTGTGTTTATTGAGTTGGTGCCTTCCTCACCTCCACTCTGCAGTGTGAATGTCACGATAGCCAGTGTGAGTGCAGAAAACACCTCCCCCAAACCACCAGGGTCTTCAGGTCTGCCTGCTTCACAGTGACTCCCTATTCCCAGTCACCCCGTCCTTCTTTGCTGCACAGATGGCTATTCGGACTCCATTAACAATTAAGATCCTCTGGGAGGTTCCTTCTCCCTCACGGGTTATGAATCTCCACTCCACCTCAGCACCCTGTGCTTCCCCAAAGCACAGCCCCTAAAAGGCTGGCTTTTAACTGTTTATCTTCCACTAGTTATGGAGTTCCTTGGTAACTACACTTCAGGGACCTTCTGCAGGATCTTCATGTTTGTGCAGTGAATGACTGAAGGCTCTGTCATAGAGCCCACAAGTTCCATCTGCTCCTCGTGCATTACTTAAATCTTTTGTTTCTGTGCTGTCTTTTGCCAGGTAGAAGTAAACATGAGCCATGACAACTCTCATTTTGCTTGGTTGCTGGGAAGCTCAGAACTAAATTTATATAAATTAAATTTAGCTCTTAATTAGCTGAAATGTTCTTGTTCCAGATTATTTCAATGATGATCATTCCTCTTTCGTGAAACTGTGGTACAAGTAACTATTATCTTATGGTATAGTTTTTGTTGTTGTTGTTGTTTCATTGAAAATGCCTTAAAATTTTGTTCTTAAAGGTCCAAAAACTTGAATTCCAATTCTCCTCTGCCTCTCACGAGCTCAGCAGTATTTCTTCCTGGCTAGCTTTGGGCTTGGACCATATGATATTCATGGTCTTTGCCAGCTCTAAAAGCTTTATACGTCTATGGATAAAAGAGGACAGTTTATAAATTATTAATGAAAGAATCCTGTGACAGAATATGGCTCAAGTCTCTAGGCACAAAGGAATCCCTTTGGGTACCTGGAAACACCCTTCAAGGGCCCCAGGGAGCCAGCCAAGGTGAGTCCTGCCTAGCACAATGCCCTGGAAGAAGGGTTTGGTTAACATATACTGCATTCCCTGGTGGGTATTCTTTACCCAAACAAAGACTTTGACAAGTTAGGTCATGAAAATGCCCTAAGGGGGTGGCCTTTCGGTGGCTACTATTTGACTTCTCACTACCTCTCAAGCTTTTCACATCTTTCTGTCTGCATTACTTATCCCCCCATCAGCCTCCTACTTCACTTCCTGAACTCTGAGTCTTGGCCTTTTCTGTGCCTTGTTCCTTAATGCTTCCCTTCTACACTTAAAAAGAAAAATAAATAAATACTTCACCTGCAAAGCAAAGCTCAGGGCCACTCATCAGAAATGGCTTTCTTCCCTTCACTGCTGTAGTGTAGATGTGAGCTGTCTCCCACAGTTTTGTATGTTGAATGTTAGAGACCTGCTGAGGTAAAGAAGCTTACAGAATACATCGTTCAGGGTCTTGGGATAAGAGGGTGTCCACAATTCCTCTCTCTCTTCTTCTCTGTTTCCTATTCCTGTGCACACTCCCACCACCATGCTATTTCTCCTTACCACAAGCCCAGAAACAGTGTAGTCCAGAACAATGAAATGTGACTAAAATAACTAGTCCCCTTTAAGTCATTTGTGCCAAGGGTTTTATCACAGAAATTACAAAAGTAACAACTTCTGCAAAATTAGTACCAGGAACAAAGTCATGGCTGTGACGAAACCTGACCATGTGGTTCTTAGGACTTTCTAAAGTGAAAGGGGGAATTTAGGAGAGTTTAGAGGCAAGGGTTTAAAAATGTTTGAGACCATTGAAAATGTATGCCTAAATATGGTGGCATTTTGTGGAGATTTGAAAATATTAGAATGCTGATAAAATGCAGGTGGATATACTGACCTCATGTGGAATCCAGAATGCCACAGTCATAGAGCTAGTCACCCAGACTTCAAGGATAAACCACTTCGGAGGCCAAACAATGAATGGCAGGCTCAGAATCCCCACACGAACTCCACTGAGGGGACAATGTATACAGGATGAAGAATAAGATATGCACCTGCATTAGAGATGCCAGTATGTTGAAGATGACAAGCACAAGGAGCAACCACCAAGGAAAGCCATGGGCAGCAAGCACAGTCATTTCAAGAGAAGACTATGTGGCCCATAGGCATCAAGGCCATAGACAGTCATTCCAAAAGTACTCAGGAGCTCAAATCATTACTCCATGTACGCTGGATGCTAGACACAGCACTGCAGGGCTATGTGTTTGCCGTGCTGGCTTTCAGTCTTATCTTGGTCTGATTCTTTATTGGCATCTTCTTATTCCTCCACTTTGAAATGAGCATGTTTACTCTGTGCTTGTATATCTTAGAATCAAAACTTTTTCCTTTCCTTTACAGGGAATCACAGCTAAAGATTTTCCTTGAGTCTCAGAAAATACTTTGGACTTGGCCTTTTGAACAATGCTGCAACGTTTAAGACTTTGAGGACTCTAGGAGGTAAACTCAATACATTTTTGCATTATGAAAAGCAGTGATCCTTTGGGGCCCGGTGTGGTATATTGCAGTTTGAATATGAAACGTCTTCTGGGAGCCATGTTTTTAGCACTTGGTCTCAGCTTATGGGGCTATTTTAGAAAGGCATGGAAACATCAATGACGGCTTCTAGACGTATAAAGTAAGTGGGCCTTGAATTGAAGGTTATACCTGACCCCTTGTACCTTCTTTACTCTGTGTGTCCTGTTCTCCTTTATACGCTCCAGCCACCACTTTATTCACCCTCACTGTGGGCCCAGAATCAAAGAAGCCAAAAGCTGTAGACTGAAACCTTTGAAACCATTAGCTAAGATAAATAGTTCCAGGGCTGGATAAGCAACTCATCAATAAAGAGAACTTAATGCTCTTGCAGAAGACTCGGGTTTTTATTCCCCAGCACCTTGGTCAGGTGACACACAACCATCTGTTACTCCAGTTCCAGAAGAGTCAAAACCCTCTAGCTCAAGGCCACTTGCACCCATTTGCTGCACACAAACTAATACAGGCATAAACACATACATACACAAAAATAATTTTAAAAAAAAACTATCTTTCCCCTTTTGTGTTGTTTATGTCAATATTCTGTGCCATCGATAAGAAAAGCAATTGATATCCTCATGGAACAATTTAGTTGTTTTCTCTACTCTTCCCCGTTGTACTTCATACAAAACTCATCAAAGTTACATTCTACTATGGTGCATTTTTCATCTGAATTGAGTCCTTTGCGTTGACTTGTGTGAGGCCATTAATGCCAGTACCTTCCGAATCTATTACAGATGTTGAACATACAAAAAATGAAGCAGATGATAGGTGATAGATGGACAGATGGATGTTTCTGAGACTGCATACATGGATGGAGAAGATCACATATATGTTAGAGTTGATAGCTTGGTGTTTTGTGGGACAGTGTGAGTGGGGATGTCTCTGACTTCTTTGCCTGCTCTTGAAACCCTTTTCCTCCTACTAGATTGTCTCACCCAAACTTGATATGAGGAGTTTTGCACCTCTAATAGCTTTCACTTGTGGGCTGGAACTTAGGGTCTAACTCCTGTTTGCAACTACAAATGTGAAAAATATCTCTAGTGTAGAATGAATATTAATAATTAATATTGATTCGTATTGTTAGTAATGCAGCGGTTACTCTTTAACCATCTAGTTACCCAAATAACCATACAGAGAGACTAGAATATATTTAATTAGCCTAGAGCACAATGTTTAGCAATAATTACTCCATCCTACACCTCCAGGCTACTGTAGCTTCCTCCCATTCGGATTTCCTACATTATACTTGTTTCTCCTAGGTTCGGTTCATTTCTCCTGATGCTTTCCCATCTCCAACCTCCTCTCTCCTCTTTCTCCTCCCCTCGGTGGACCCAAAAATCCCACCCTATTCTCTGTATTGTTCAGCACTGGCTAGTTGCCTTCTCATTGGCAATACAAAAAACAAATGGTGGGCATGTTTACACAGACTTGAGACAGAAATTTAAAATACGTATCACAAAGCCATGTCTGGATTGAAACCATATAGTATAGTAGAGAAATCACCATTTGAATGAACAAGGGTACACTTTACACAGTCCACAAAACCATTATACCAACACTCTAGGGCAGACACTGCTGAGCACAATGGGGTTTTCTGCTTTCTCAGTAACAGTATCTACAGTCATTGCCTGAGTGGCCGATTCTTCCCTTTTGTCTGGAAAGATTCTAGTTTTAAACTGAAAGTCCGGCATCCCAGGAACAACATCAGTCCAGGGCAAACCAGGACAGTTGGCCATCCTCCTAGCTGTAGCTCTGTGCAAGATAAAATTTTCATATTCCAGAATTCCATGAGCTTCAGGAAAGCATATAACTGAAATCCTCACAGCAGGACATCAGTGGAAACAGTGCGTTCAGTTTCCTGAACATATCCTCAAAGGAAGCAGAGAGAGTACCTCCTCCTTTTTGCCTTCAGGCCCTTTGAAATGCAGAAAAGACAGCAGAACACAGAATTGATATCTAGACCCACAAGTAAAAGCCATGTTGTGATAAGACAGGCAGAGCAAGGGCACCGGATGAATGGGTCACCCAAGCCCTGAAGTTCCTTTACTTACACAGGAGAAATGAACTTGAATCTTTTTTAAACTACTGCTATCTAAAGTTTTAAACTACTCAAGGTTGAATTTCATGTGTGCCTGTATGTGTACTTGCTCATGTGTGTGCATGTGCATGCACACATTTTGTGGAGGTCAGAGGTCAACATCAGGTGTCTTCCTATATTGTTCTACCTCATTTTTTTATTATTTTTTAAATTTTTTTGCAGTTTATTCATTTTATATCCCAATTGTAGCCCCTTCTGTCATCTCCTTCTGGTCCCACCCTCCTCTGCCCCCTTATCCCCTTTCCCTAGTCCACTGAAAGGGGGAGTCCTCCTCCCCTGCCACTCCCCTCCTCTAGCTTAAGTCTCAACAGGACTGCCTATATCCTCTATAGCCAGGCAAAGCCACATTGCTAGGAAGCAGTGATCAAAGATCAGGTAACCAAGTTCATGTCAGAGACAGTCCCTGCTCTCCTTACTTGGGAACCCACATGGAGAATGAGCTGCCATGGGCTACATCTGAGCAGGAGGTTTAGGTCCTCTCCATGCAGGGTCCTTGGTTGGTGCATTGGTCTCTGCAGGGCCCCTGGGCCCAGATTTTTTGGCTTTGTTGGTCTTCTTGTGGAGCTCCTGTCCTCTCCTGGTCCTACCCCCCCCCACTTCTTCCATAAGACTCCCTATGTTCTGCCTAAAATCTCAGCATCTGTTTCGATTTGCTGCTGGGTGGAGCCTCTCAGAGGACAGCTATGCTAGGCTCCCACTGGTATTTCTATCTGTATTGTTAGGTTGTATCCTGTGCCATCCTATTCAGCTACAGAAGCCAGCAGGCTGATGGCACTCTTCTGATAGTGCTCAACACTAGAGACAGGTATCTTGACATGTGAAGGGCTCTGAGATTAAGCACATTGAGGTTGAACTTATGTGGTGGTTTGAAAACTCATGTGTGTGTGTGTGTGTGTGTGTGTGTGTGTGTGTGTATCTGTGTGTGTCTGTTGTGAATGCTTAACCCATAGAGAGTGGCACTATTAGGAGGTGTGGCCTTGTTGGAGGAAGTGTGTCACTGTGGCAACCTTTGAGGTCTAAGATGCTCAAGCTAGGCCTAGTATGGCAGTCTCTTTCTGCTACTTGCAGATTAAGATGTAGAACTCTGAGCTCCTTCCACAGTATCATGTCTGTGTGCAAGTGGCCATCCTTTTCACCCCTGGATACAGTGAGCTTGAGGCCAGTCTGGAAGAGTTCTGGCCCTGTCTAAAACAAACAAACAAAACCACTGAATAACTTTCTATTTTCCTTGGCATGTAAGAAAAGGATTTCTTTCCCCCCCCCCCTCCTTGGAACTGTGAGAAACGCTATTGTTCATAACTGAAATTGTTACTACTCAAACAGACTACATTAATGCATTCCCAGAACCTGAAATATGTCAGTATAAAATAATGACTGCTTTCCACCCCACAGTCCCCACAACCTCAAGAAGATGCTGGGTCTTTGGAAGCTGTGGCAGCTTCGAAAGATAAGTGGTCAGAGGCTGGGTGGTGATGAACTGAATCCTTCCAGTTCTAGCATTAATCTTCACTGTAAGTCACCTCATCTCTCTTTGCTCCCCTTGACTTATAAAATGTGGGTTTTGAACTTACTAACATACCAGATGCTAAACTGAAGATGGGATCTCGAGACTCAGAAAAAAAAAAAAAAAAGAAGAGACTAACAGCAGATTCCTTCCTACAAGAGCTCAGGGTTCAATAGGCTGAAAGATAACCACATACCACCTCTCTGAGCCAGAGAGCTCAGATGGCCTTCAGTGTTGAGGGATAAGTGCCTGGTGTAATGTGACAAGGACTGCATATTTCCATTCTTCTCCATTCCACTCAATTTCCATTCTTCTCAGCTGTCTGAGTAAGAGAATACCAGTATTTCTGAGTAATCACATACCCAACTAAACACACTATGCTTCTATGCTTTCCTGCAACCAGTAGGGCCACATCAGCTCTTACAGTCGGATGTAATCTCTCATGCCTGTGTTGCTTTTTAAGGAGCCTCTTGTAAAGGAGAAGGTATAATCTTTACTCCAACCACCTACATAGAATGTGGTGGGTCACTTAGCATTCCAGCAGCCGCTGAGGTCCCTGAGCACAAGGGGCACACCCTGAGGATCACCTACTGTGAACTAGAGGAGACTGGAGATGTCCCTGGTCATAGGCTATTAAATAGAGAGCAAACTGCTGATGTAGTTACAACTCTCTCTAAGTCTCCCTTTCTCTCTTTCCAAGTCTCTCTCTTTCTCTCTCTGAGTGTTTCTCTTAGTGTCTTTCTCTGAGTCTCTCTCTATCTCTCTCTGTCTCTCTCTCTCTCTGCTTGTGTGTGTATACATACATGCACATAAATGCCATTGATGCCAATCTCAATTGATACAGGCAATATTTAAGATTAGCATTACAAATAGCCACT